TGAAAACAGAAAACAAAAAAACCCCCCCCCCCCCCGCACTTACAGCCATTTAAAATACTATTTAAAAACCGTAACTATGACATTTGCACCTACAGAATTATACAGGATTTGGGAGGAATGCTTCCTACATTCTCCTGTGATTTATGAAACTCCAGACTTGTCAACACTGGCCTTTGGTTTAGTTATTCATACCTTTAGCGCCTAGACATGCAATACACCAGGCAGAAATGCATTTAGCACGTCAGAAAATCCAGCTGTTACAGAGTAACACAATATATTGCCTCAGCAACACCCACAGCAACAAACCTGGGCTCCATTCTCCTAGAAGCGTTTAATGAATTTCTGAGTCTGTATCCTATTTTCTAGGACTTGATGGTCTAAGGCAATTTATCAAATATATGCTAACTACAGCTTTGGACTTTCAACCACTTCGGCCTGCAATGAGGAGAAAACCCACTTCTGCGAAGACAAAACTTTCTCAAAGCCGGTCTTTGCCTGAGGAATGAACTCCCTGGGAAGCACCAAGACCTCGTAATCTCACCACTTTCCATTCTCAGTAAAAGGTGGGGTTTTCCCTGCTCATAACGTCTCAGACAAGCATTCAGAACCACGTGCATGTTAAACAAAAAGAATTCCAAACCAAGAGGAACTCCCCCAGAAGAGGCTTTTTGCCACCCTTTTGAAAGAGGACAGCGCATCCACGTGTGAGAAGTGAATTGGGTTCCTTGATGCACGTCGGAGGGACACCTTACATCCTACAGAGGTCAGAAGGAGGTAGGTACAAAATGAGGTACATGAGCAGAAACAGCTTATGAGAGTTACAGATGGCCGGGGAACACAATTTCTTCTTTTTTTACATTGTTTCAATTTCTGTTCCGATGATAATCTTTCACATGTGTATGGAAATTATTTAAAGATAGAGTACTGTTATAAGTTCGATTTCTCTCTGAAAGCGTTCTGACCTCTGCTCCCCACCACACCGTAATCACCTATTTTTGTAGGCGCAGTGAAATCAGCAGCTTCACCCAGCCCAGGCTGGCTGCCCCCCCGCCTCCCCGCACACCCCGAGGCTGCCAGCGGCACCGCCGTGCCCAGGCTGCACCTCCGCACCCCGAGCTGCTCCCTCTCCGCCCGGCCCCAGCGCGCACCCCGCCCGAGGCTCCCGCTGCGTGACCTTCCGCCCTGCCCGGGGGAGGGCGATCCCCGACCGGCCTCCGGGGACCGCGGCACCTGGCACCCGGGCGGCGATGGGCCGGACCGATGGCCCACCGGGGACATTCGCCAGGGTAGCGGAGCTGATGGAGCTCGTACCGGCCACGGCTACCACCGCTCCCCGGCACGACCTCTTTCTGCCCGCAGGGACCGTCGGCGCAAAGCAGCGGGATGGAGGCGGGGAGGCTCCCTGCCAGCTCCCTGCCCCGCGCTCCCCACGCCGGGGAACGCGATGGCTGCTTACCGAATCTCGCATCCGTGTGAGCGGCCCCGGCGGCCGGTGCTGAAGACGAAGCGAGG